ATAACACTTACTCAATCTAAATCATCTCTGTGGTCTTCTGAATGTGCCCTGTGTTCCCTGCCTGCCCTTTCCAACGACAGCACAGATCCTGGCATAATATGTCAATATTTATTTATTTATGGGTGCACTACCACTTGAAATAGCTTTTCCCCCCACTCCCTCCCGTGCCAGCCTCCCAACCTCAACTGGAACTTGAGTAACGATGTCCTCCGCACATTTTTGCTGCTAAACTACCCTTTCATTACGGTCAATGGAAAGATTTGAAGGTTTACATTCATCGTGGGGTTTTTTGGAGCGGGAGGGAGGAGGTAAAACAGTGAGGACTATTAGAAGGGCTTCATGCCATATGAAGAGCATGGCATCTAGCCATGCTGAGCTTGTGCTAAAAATTGCTTGGCATTTTTATGCGGGCCTGCGGTCATAGTCGATGATACAGTGAACAGAAACTCTTGGAATATAAAAATACACCCGCTCAGACCTGGCAGGGTTGAAAGGGTTAAAATCCACAGCGTTGACTTTACAGGATAATTTCTGATGCTCACTTCCTTAATAACTTATCCTCTGTACCGATAGCATAGAAATGACTGCGTACCTTTACAAAGATGTCATTTTTTTAAGGGAGAGCAGGATAAGATTATTATAGTAAAATAAAGACCCATTCAAGGTTGAAAATATTAGACAAATATGTGCCCACCTTTGTGGTTTTTTATATATATCTGAATATATACAAAATTATATATATAAATATATGAAAACATATATAAAATAAATTATATATATATAAAATAAATTGCATATATAAGATAAAGAGCCATTCAGGATTATATAAATATATATTAAAATATAATTAAATATATATAAAAATGTATTTTAATATATAAATGTGTGTGTGTGTGTGTGTGCATATGTGGTGAAGTTGTTTCCCAGTGATGGACCCGCTCCCCTGCTGGCAGGTATAAGTAAGTCTATTTTATGCCCTTGGAGAATATGGTGGGATGTGTTTTTAGTGTTATTCCTTCATTTCAGAGAAAAAGTAGCTGGAAAAACCACACTTTTTTAAAACAGCGCACAGCCTTTTGTAGTGGAAACTGGTGACCTGACATTCATCAGGTCACTGATCATCTCATTAAGGGGTATAGCCATGGAGGGAATGAATTTTTCATGCTAAGGAAAGCCTCGGCACTTCTGTTTTCTTTATTTAAATCTCAAATGTTTCTTAATTCTCTGCATCGGGCTATTGCAGAGGGGCATCTCCTAGCTGAAAGCAGCCCTGGGAGAACCAAACCCCAGCAGACAAGGCTGAGAGGCAGCGCTGACCCGGCCGGGCATGTGAGCTGGCTTGTGGCATCCCATTTTTGGGGAAGGCTGGCCCCAGCTATGGCCAAAGCGTGTCCCTCTGCTCACCCCCCTCCACTCGCACGCCTCGGAGCAGCCTTGGAGGCCTGAGCCCTGGTGAAGATGTGCTTCCAGCACTAAACCTTCAGGTCCCAAAGTGTTGTGTGTAGGGCTTGGATCAGATGGGAGTAGGTGTGTGGTGGTTGAAGATGCCATCCAGAAGCAGCGTCCCCAGGCTGGGCTGGTGTCGAGGCTGCCTCTGCCCAAAGCAGAGCGTGATGGGCACTTTCAGAGAGCAAAGCTGCTTTCCTTTGAAAGCTCACCCAGTGGATGGCAGGGTGGATGAGGAGCCCTCCCTCTGCCTGTCTCACCTGCAGAGTCTAAACGATTTGCTTAGAGTAGATGCCTGCCTTTTAAATAGTTAAAATTACATGAGATAAAGTCCACCCTAACAGAAAGAATTGCCATCTGGCCAGCTCTGGTGGCTTCCTTTGGCTGTCAGAGGATGGGAGGGAGACCAGTTTGCTGGGTCCAAAATGATTTCGCTCACCTCGGAGCAGGTCTTGCAGTGGGATGAAGTAGAAGTAGGTCTAGGTGCCGGTGGAGACTTGGCCTGACGATTCATCCATTGATGATGGATGCCCTACCCTTGGCAAACGGTAGGGACCGAGAGGAAGGAAGATGAAGCAGGGAAGAAAGACAACTTCCAGTGCCAAGAGTGAGCTCAGAGTGGGGTCTCGGGTGCCTTGTCAAGGACTGTCCCTCCATCTCTGCTTGCCTTCGCGCGCTCTGTCCCAAGCAAGAGAGCGTTGGCCTGAGTGGCCTCTGGGGACAGGAGCTTTGCAGGGTGGATGGGGATGTCTTTGCGAGTCCATCCCTCTCTGTGGCTTTCTCGTTCGCAAGGCCTCCGTGTTGGCTCTTCTCCTCCTAGTTCCCAGAAGAAAAGTTAATAAGTCTGTCCAGGTAGAAAACTTCATTCAGTAGTGATATTAAGCCTTTCAGCAGCAGATGATTTCATTCAAAAAGAATAGCCACAAGCCCCAGAGAGATTTTTAAATTCCAGTGAACACAGACTTCTGATACACGTTCATTTTCCCCCCAACGCCTTTCTTTCCTGAGACACACAGGACCCCTTTAGCAGTTTCTTTGGCAGGATGAGCGCTCTGGGAGAACAGGTTTTTCAAAGTCTTCAAGTTTCTGAGCATGAGATCAGGTCTGTTATTCCCTTGATTTAAAAAAAAAAAATAAAAAAAAAAGAAAAAGGAAATCACACTAGAGGAAAATGTGTAGAGGGATGTGAGTTATACTGCATCTGTATCCTGTGGTCATGCTGTAATTGAAAAATGTAAATCAGGTAAAAATTACGTAGTTGTGACGCTGGGAATTTTAGGCAAAGTATTCCTTTTGGATCTCTTGCCCCTCTGTACTCTAAAAATTCCTTTTGCCTCCGCTTAGAACTTCTGCCTGTGCCAAGGGGAATTTGGTGTGGAGGGCAAGAGCAAAACACACAGCAGAAATCCGCAGAGGGTGAAGCTTATGCAGAGAGATGATGAGATCTGCATTGCAGATGCCAGTGTAGGACTTTGCCCTTAAAATTCCCCATGCACGAGAGTCAGTGGAGCTGTACTAATAAACCATAGCTGTTGGGTGATTTGGGGGGGTGCATGCAAGTCGTAGCTTTTAGTTTGGTTTTTTTTTTTAAATCTGTGACTGCCAAAAGACAGCAGGGGAGAAGTGTTTGTGGGTCTGGGGCTAGGGCACCATAAAAAAGCAATTCTGTTAAACCCTTTAACCAATTTTTGCTGATCATCTGCAACTCCCATTGTCTTCAGCGGTTATTATGGGTGCTGAAGAGCTTCTGGAAGTCTCAGGCCCTAGTTACTGTTCATTCAAATTAATGCAATTTAGTCCTTGAAGCTTATTATTGGGAAAGCTTTTGAGAGGAAAGATGATTATGTGAAAGGGTGGCTCTTGGCTCCCTTGATGGGTATCCTGGGCCCTTTCAAAGTGAGACAAAGATCCAGAATGATCCGCTTGACAAAGAAGCGTGGCAGTGTAGTTCAACATTATGTGTATGTTTTCTCTGTCAAAGATCATGAGCCATAGTTTGCTGCCTTTGGCATTAATCCACAGTAATCTTCCTGGCTCCAAAAGAATTATTCCAAAGATTTCCTGGTGTAACTGAGAACAGAAACTGGGCCAGACACAAAGGACATAAAAGCAGTACCATGATTCAGAGCTGGCACAACGGAGAAGACGATGTATTTTGGGGTGCCAGGAGAATAAATGGATG